TAGAGTAGAGTAGAGTAGAGTAGAGTAGAGTAGAGTAGAGTAGAGTAGAATAGAATAGAATAGAATAGAATAGAATAGAATAGAATATGGAATGGAATAGAATAGAATATAATTCCTAACCCCTCACATCCTGGACATAAATTGTTTCAACTTCTACCCTCAAAACGATGCTATAGAGCATTGCACACCATAACAACTAGACAAAAGGAGAGTCATCACTCTGCTAAACAAATAATTCCCTCAACACTGTCCAACTGTTTGCAAACTCTGCAATACTATTACTATTAATCTTCTCATCACTCCTTATCACCCATGCCCTCCCACTTGTGACTATATGACTGTAACTTTGTTGTTTATATCCTAATGATTTATATTGACTTTTTCCTAGTATGATTTGATTGCTTATTGTACCCTATGACTATTATTAAGTGTTGAACCTTATGATTCTTGACACTTGACGAATGTCTCTTTTCTTTTATGTACACTGAGAGCATCTGCACCAAAGACAAATTCCTTGTGTGTCCAATCACACTTGGCCAATAAAGGATTCTATTCTATTATTGATTGACACATGGGATTTGCGTCTGGAGCACAAACGCTCTATGTACATGCAAGCAACAAGTGATAAACCATGATTATAATCATAAAATACTATCATCACAAATCAAAAGATACAGCACTCGGTGATAGTCATACGATACTAAATAAAAGCAATCAACATAAATCATAAGGTACAAACAACAAAGTGATCGTCATAAGATGCTAAAGGAACAGGTAATAGGAAAGATGAGAAGGATAATACTGTCCTACTACATGGTTTGATATCCTAGGGAAAACGATAGTATTGTGGGAATTAATTGTTTAGCAGAGAGATGATATGGGAGAAATATTTGTGTCTAGTTGTAGACACAACTGCAACTAGTAGAAGATAATATTTGTAGCTCAGGGTTGAACTGTGGGTCCTTGGTGCTCTCTGGGCTTCGATGTTTGCTTGCAGACATTGGATAATGAAACATCTGCAAGAAAACAACCAAGCTCAGAGAGCACCAAGGACTCCTCAGAAAAATATTCCTCAGCCGTTCATGCACAGTAGCTCTACATCTGTCCTAGGTGTAGAATCCACTGTGGTTTGAGATCAGGTGGACATAGATGCAAGGATGGGGTGTTGGGCCTATCTTGGGAACCCTAGCAAAGATTGTCTGGCAACTGAACCAGCCTGCCAACTCCAAACCGGAGACAATATGGATAGAGATAAACAAAGTGAATGGTTTTCCTGCTGGACTGGAAAGCTGAACCAACTGAAAAGGTACCTCTGTCTAATATATAGTATTAGAGGTATCATAGTTAAAGCCAGCAGCACAGCAGATACTTCCCACTTAATGATTGGCTTTAGCTCTGAGGGCATATCTGCTGCTGCCAGACTGGCCAAGGTGGAAAAAAAACACAAAGAAAAGAAATAGAAAGACCACACTTTGGGATAAGGATACGAAGATTCCAGACAGCTCTTGAAGAAATTGCAAAAGAGCCTCTATATTTCCAAAGAGGTGAGCCATTTAATATGCTTGTGATTTATTGTGATTTATTGATAAAGAAACTTAATGGGATTAAGGGCTGATGAACAAAGAATGGAGTGAAAGAAAGGAAAAAAGAAAGAAAGAGAAAAAAAGAAAGAGAGGGAAAGGAAAGAGAAAGAAAGAGAGGAAAAAAGAAAGAAAAGAGAGAGCGAGAAAACAAGAAAGAAAATGAGAGAAAGAAAAAGAAGGAAAGAAAAGGAAAGGGAAAGTAGGAAGGAAGGAAGCGCTAGAAGGAAAAGAAGAGAGAGAGAGAGAAAAAAAGAAAGAAAAGAAAAATCCAATCACAAATCATTTTGGTGTCTTACTAAAGAGGTACATGTTCCAATCTTCGAGAAGATAATTGCCTCATTTAAATGATAATATGTTTTGTCTTTCCAAAGTGGTTGCTCATGGCGGTATCCACAGATTGTAAAATGCGCATATACACAAATGTAGAAGTGAGAACAAGCAAAAAAAAAAAAAAACCCAAACCTCTCCCTCCCTGCTTTTACTTTACCCCCCACACCGAAGTGCACTTGTGAAACCTAATCACCCAGAGCCACGGCAGACACCAGAAAGGATTTCACTAAATTGTCGGTGCGGCGAAAAAGTATTAAGCCTATAACATTGCCCAGAGCGATGGGGACAGCTCATCTGTTCAATACATACGAAAGCTCTTGTAGTAAGTTTCTCCCCTCCCCCCACTTTTTAATGGCATCATAATCTTTGATTATTCCTAGGAATATTTGATCTGCAAGAGATATTGCTGTGAAGTTAATGGTGGTTGTAAAAAAAAAGAAAAGTTCAGCGTGTGGAATAAAGAAACTCCAGATGTGAAGTTGGCAAATTTTGGCAGGGTAGCAAACCCCTCCCCCCGCCCAAACTAAATTGCTTAGCTAGTTCTCTGACTTGAATCTCTTAATGCTTTCTTCTGGAACTCACTAATTATATCTGTAGAAAATCTGCAGACATTACAGCTCTATTTAGCTGTTATTGCTTTGGCTTGTTCCAGTGGACTCAGCACTGACAGAACTTTGGACTAATGGGCCCCATTAGATGAATGCTAACAGAAAGTTCTCCTCCTGCTTCTCCTCCTCCTCCTCCTCCTCCTCCTTCTCTACCCCTCCTCTTCTGCTCCTTCTCCTTTTGTCCTCCTCAACTCCTTCGCTTTCTTTACCACTCCTCCTCCTTCTCCTTCCTTCCTCCCTTCCTTCTCCTTCTTCCTTCTCTATCTCTCCTTCTTCATTTCAGTTTGACAGAGGGCAATCTGCTTTCGGCATTTCAGAAGAAAATAAAGTCCAAGAATTCCTGGAAAAATAGACAGATGGAAAGATGGACGGACAGGTGGATAAAAGGCTGGATACATGGATGGATGCATGGATGGACCGACCGACCGACAGATGACAGACCAACTGACTGACTGACACCCAGAAAAAAATCCAGAGTGATGGAACATTGGATAATAGAAAACAAGGAGCATCAGATCATAGGAAACAAAGAAGTTGGCCACCCTCGTCCTCATCCCCAAAAATATGAAAAAGACTCAAGCTCTCTGAGAATAAAGTTCAAAAGAAAACAACAACAACCAACAACAACAACCCAAAAACTTCTTTTAAGCGGGAAGAAAACTTCAGAGGAACTGCAAGGCATTAGAAGTTCCAAGTGAGGCACTGATGGAATCACTCTGCTTCAAGAGGTCCAAGTAAAAATGTTACTTGGATAACATTTTATAAAGTTAATATAAAAAGATTATCTCTGATAACATTTCCAGAAGAGACATTCCATCTCTTCCTTCCATTGTCACCCCTTTCATATTGTTGAACATTTTTAACCTCCTTTTCACATATGCATAATAAGGTGGAATACCTGTGTGGAGATCTCTGTCAGGAAGAAGGCATGGTTGCATGGTTGAAATCTAAAACCCAAGCACTTGGTGGTGAGCACTCAACAGAGAGCAAACCCCACTGCCTTCTAGCACTGATGATGTTCCCTAGTTGGGTCATGAAATGTCTGCAAGGAAACACTCAAGCTCAGTGAGCACAGAGGACCTCACAGTTCTCATCAAACCAGACAACATCTAAAGGAGGCCCATGCTTTAGAATAGAAGAGAATAACAGAGTTGGAAGGGACCTTGGAGGTCTTCTAGTCCAACCCACCGCTTAGGCAGGAAACCCTACACTATTTCTGACAAACGGTTATCCAACATCTTTTTAAGAACTTCCAGTGTTGGAGCATCCACAACTTCTGGAGGCAAGTTGTTCCACTGATTAATTGTTCTCACCATCAGGAAATCTCTCCTTAGTTCTAGGTTGCTTCTCTCCTTGATGAGTTTCCACCCATTGCTTCTTGTCCTGCCTTCAGAGAATAGCTTGAACCCCTCTTCTTTGTGGCAGCCCCTCAAATATTGGAACACGTCTATCATCTCATCCCTAGTCTTTCTTTTCATCAAACTAGACATATTCAATTCCAGCAACCATTCTTTGTGTGTGTTTAGCTTTCAGTCCCCTAATCCTCTTTGTTGCTCTTCTCTGCACTCTTTCTAGAGTCTCAACAACTTTTTTTACATTGTGGCAACCAAAACATCACACTCAGCAACTGTGGTCCATGACCAGGGGACAATTCCCGAAGCCATCCCATCCCTTTCAGATTGAGCTAAGTTGACTTAGAGTAACCTCACCATATAGCTTGAAGCTATCAGACAACTTACAGCATAAACTGAAGAGCCAGAGGAAGATCAGAACTGTGCTGGTGTAAAATGTAGGAGAACCACTACAGTCAACTTTGTATTTTGTGCAGGAGCACACTTGGATTTTCAGTTCCGTATTGTTACTTAGAGGAGGTGTTCCAGGATCCGTCACCAAGATGGGGATGATATAATTGGCCTTCTTCAAATTGGGGGGCACGGCAATTTGGCTGTGGGTATCTGCAGGAAGCAAGGAAGTTAAATTTAGGGCGATGGTTTAAATCTTGCAGTAGACATGGTGGCGAAGTGTTTTTCAAACTTGGCAACTTTAAGATGGGTGGACTACAACTTCCAGAATCCCCCAGCCAGCATGTTGCCAAGTTTGAAAAATATATATATATAAACCCTGCCGTAGTGGAACAGTAAAAAAATGAATCAGCTTCAAGACAGGTGGCCCAGAAGTCAAACGTTATCCCAGCCAAGAAAATTTTTAGCATATCCCTTAGTGCCAACTCCTTTTTTATTTGCAATAGGAGGATAATAATATTGCCTTATCATAAAATGTTAGTTTAGGGTTTATAAGTAGATGGGACCCATGAAACACTCTGAGTGCTTAACACAGCCATGAAATTGTCCACAGAGGGCCTTCTCGTCCATCTGTCTTTCTGTATACATTAGGACTTCTAAGAACTTTGCACAACGCTCATAAAATGCGTATGGAGGATATGCTGATCCTCCAGCTCGGTGCAAATTGTTCACAAGTTTTAGACCTTTGCAAAAAAACAGAGCCTTAGCTATCTTGTTTTCTCATTACCACATGTTTTTGACCCTGCATGCAACCAAGTGTTGTGGCCCACTGGTGGCTACCAGAGCTGGCAGCAGAGTTAGATAGTGAGGAGGTTGGGGAGGAACCTGGGCCAGTCCTGGAGACTGAGGAAGGCTCAGACGAGGACTCTGTATCAGAGGAAGAGATGGGACCAGGCCAGGCTGGCAGTTATCAGCTGCCTTCAGCGTCGGACAACAGTGAGGTGGGGGAGTAGCTGGGGCTTTTGCAGGAAGCAATTCGTTCATTGCTGCAGTGTGAAGATTGCAGAGACTCTGTGCCGAGCCCTTCCTTGTCATCACTGCATTTGAAAATATTTACTTGGCACCTCTCCAGGCTACATAAGGTCTGTGCTCTTAATTAGACCCTCGAAAGACTGTTTGCCAGGCCTTTGGATGAATGCGGATGCAAAAAATTCACCTTTGCTTAATAAAAGGGGTTTTGCCAGGACAAAAAGTCTGCTTAGTGCTTTTGGGGGAAGCCTAGGTCAGATCACCAAGGTTATGTGGCTTGTGGGTTTCCCTCCCTAAACCTTCATTTTCAGGTAACTTAGGTAGTAGCAAAATGAGTATTGAGGGTAGGATCCAAGGGCAGGAAATGGGTTCCACCATATCTGTAACTTTTTTTTAATGACAAAGAAACAGTAGGTATGCCCCACTGTTTGGAATTCCTGCAATGCATTCTGCGGTTTGCCTCCCACAACACTCGTTTTCCATAGAAGAAACAACGAAGTATATGGAACAGTGCACTGCAGAGACTTCTCAGAACTGTTGGAGACCAGAGCATCTTCTGGCAGCAATTAATTATTTTGATGATTTGGGCAAAGAGAAGAGATAGTTAAGGACTAGGGTCCTCCAATCCTTATTTCTGAATTTGTCAATTTTACAGGAAAGCGGCGTCCCTTCAATGAAGCAGGTCATGGACCCCCCGCCCCTGAGAAGAAGAACACAAAACAAATTATATTGAGAACAACAGTTCATCAATTTGAAAAACTGGTGCTAAGGAATTGTGAATTAGACCAGTGTTTCTTAACCTCAGCAACTTGAAGAACATGTTGGCTGAGGAATTTGGGGAGTCGAAGTCCACGCACCTTCAAGTTGCTGAGGTTGAAAAACATGGCATTGGACAAATTCAATTATAAATAAAATTGTCGGGCAATGGATGTTGGATAGGAAAAGAAATGGATATGTTCTTGTTTTTTAAAAAAAATAAAAAAAAATAGAATGAGGTAGAATTTAGGTGGACCAGGCTAACAACCAAAGGTCAGGGGTGTATGCAGAGTACAGTCAAAATGGTGGCCATGAGGATGGAATTGAAGTTCCATCTGCTTCTTAGGTGTTTCTCCCACACATGGAACTTCATTTGCAACATCATGACAACCATCTTGGTTTTGTGGATGTGATGTGGACTTCCTTGAAGATGATGGCTCACACAGACGGGACCCAGCCAGATTTATACCTGCAGGGAGAAGGACAACTGTAAGAGACAATGCTGAACGTTTGGTTGTTCCTAATGGACTTACTGTTAATTCTGGTAAGCTTCCATACTTTATCTTGACCTGATTGTTTGCTCAACTCAAATTTGAAGGGCTCTTGATTGGGGTGAATGTCTTTATCTAAGGCACCAATGACAACTTTCACATCTTTCGCATCTTCACAGACACTGGCTACCGTTGGGTAAAGAGACGGGGCGTTGTCGTTCACATCCTCCAAGATAATCTGCAACGTTCCTGTACCTGTAGCTGGAGGGCTACCTGCAGGAAAAGCAGAAAGTATTTACAAATGCTCCATTTATGTATATCGTGTTTCCCTGCAGGGTATGATGAACTCACTTGTGCATTAAGGCAACAGATGCATTAAGGCTTTGTAACAGAGAAGGCAAAGAAAACACACACAAAAGAATCCGTTGGGTGCCCTATTTGCAATGCCAGAGTATTTTTTTTCTTTGATGACCAATGTCCACATCAATCAATCAACCAACCAACCAATCAAAAATGGAGAATGGCCATATTTCCCAGTGTCAGGATTCTGGCAGTTACCCCAATTAATATTTCTATGGTCTTTTTAGAGTTGCCACCCAAGACATAAGTGGTGATTCATAAGTGGCCTCCAATATTTTGTATAAAGCCGGACTTTTAACTAAGTTCTCTAGCAGATAGGAGTCTTTTTGAACATTATAACATGGCAGAAAATAAGACCCTGTTTCTTAAATGATGCCCTCTATGCTTACCTATTTATTATGGGAACTGGTCCATCGGGTTAGGAATCACTCAAGGGACTGAACAAGTTTTCTCCTCTCGCATCTCTGACTTCAGCCACAGAGTGGTCAATGTCTGGAATACTCTACCTGACTCTGTGGTTTCTTCCCCAAATCGCAAAAACTTTAACCTTAGACTGTCTACTATTGACCTCACCCCTTTCCTAAGAGGTCTGTAGGGGACGTGCATAAGCGCACCAACGTGCCTACCGTCCCTGTCCTATTGTTTATTTTTTTTTCTTATATGTATTCATGTATTCATAACTATGTTTTTACTTATACCTATTATCTTGTAAGTAATTGTCAAAAATCAATCAATCAATCAATAGGGTAATACTTGCCATACAATCATTTGTTTAGCAACCACTTGAAGATACAACAGCCCTGTAAAATTGTGACTTATGACCGATCTTCACACTTCTGAACATTCCTGCTTTTCTGTGGTCACGTGATCAAAGCTCAGGGGCTTGGCAACCAGACGGGGTCCTGGGCTCACCAGCTGCAACTTTCCAAGTTGGCTTCTAACAAGCAAAGTCAACGGGAGAACCCAGATTCACAGCCATGTGATCAGTGGTGGGATTCTACTGGTTTGAACCGGTTTGGACCAGTTTGGGCGAACCGATAGTTCCGCTGAGCATTTGGCCCTGGCCACCTGCCCCTGTTCTTCCGTGTGCTTTATTTCCTGGGTTGTTTTTTATTTTTTTGAGCACAGATGATTCTCACCTCAGCTGTTTTAGTCAGCAGGGCTGCAGTAGAAGGTAAGTATTAGCGTTGAAAATACTTTTTTAAACTCAGAGTCACTCCCTGAACGGGTTGTAACTTCGATAGAATCACACCACTTGGGTGTGACTCACTTAAGTGAAATTATTTGCTTAAAAAAATACTGTAAAATGGGCAAGATTCACTTAAAAACCACCTTGCTAGAAATTCTGGTCCCAGTTATGTTCATAAATCAAGGACTCCCTGGAACTGATATATGGTTGGTTTCACTGTTACCTTTTTTTTTGCAGACATTCACCCACAGTAGCACTTCAAGACTTTCTGAATTAAGTGTTTATCTTTTGAGAGCAGAATCAAGACCAGCACTTCCCTCTGTTTAGATTGACAGGTGGTAATAACTTCTTGTTCCTTTCCAAAGTTGACCTAGCTATCTCATGTACAGGTGAGAATGTGATTTCTCCCTGTTCTCTTCCCCCACACTTCTCTTTCACCATCTGTGTTTTCGGTCGCATCTGCTCCCAAAATGAAACTGTAAAGCCAGCAACAACAAACCACATATTTGTTTCTAGTAATTACTAGCATTTGCAATGATTCTTCCATTCCAAACAAAGGAGTGGAATTATTATTTCATGTTACTCTGAGGGATATGCAGGAATTCTCATTTTGTGATTTCCCCCAAGAACTTCCTGATTCATGTAATACTCTTTTCCCCCCCCTCCTCCATGACTGTTAAGCCATATGGAATCCAGATTATCATGGGATTTTCAAGAGAAATAAAAACAACACTGGGAAGTGTCATGCCTAAAGAGGAATCCACTAAAGTCCTGTCTTGCAGACATGTAAAAAAGCAACAAGACTTGAACCAGATGAATGGAACAACAGAGTTGGAAGGAACTTCAGAGGTCTTTTAGTCCAATTCCCTGCTTATGAGGGAGACAAACAGTTATCCAATCTTTTCTTGAGAAACTCAAGTGACGGAGCACCTAAAACTTGTGAAGGCAAGCCATTCCACTGATTAATTGTCCTCCCTATCAGAAATTTTCTCCTTATTTCTAGGTTGGTGATTCCATCTTGATAACAAGATGACCCTGGAGATGTTCTGATTGTCATTCTTGGTTGGAGGTATGGAGGAGGAACGACTTCCGGTTATGCATTTACTATAATCCACTTGACTTCTAGTAAACTTTACTTTTCTCAATAAATGGAGTTAAGGATCATTCTTTCTTAGAGGTTCAAGTTGAGGCAGGTCTGACGCTCTCAGTCATTAAATATTTGCTCACCCATCCACAAAGACATGGACTGTTAACCATAATTCGCTGGATAAAGAAGGACTGTTTGTTCAAGTGGCATATCAAGCTGTCAATCATAGTTTAAAGGGCACTGGAATTGGGTCTGTCTTTCAAGGTAAGCCAGAACCAAACAACGCATCATGGATTAGTGAGTTATGGTTGGGGGCATTGTGCGTTGTGAAGCCACAGCAAGGCTACTCATAACAGTGGGAAAGGGGATAGAATTACCAACCCCAACAGGTTCAATCTGTTCAAAACACCCAGCATGACCTTGGGAGACTGAAAGGAAAGAAAAATTAAGATATTAAAAGTAAGTTCTGAGAAAACACAACTGGAAACAAATTCAGAATGATAAATGATACCAATGGTTATTTTTCATTCATTTCAGAGAAATAAATGCACCACCAAGGTGGGATTGTCCAACTCCTACAGTTTCCCCACCCGCCCACCCCTCTACCTTAGGACCTGAGCTCCAGGGATCACAGGCTGCATTCTTATTAATAGAAATGGAAATTATCATTCAGTTAAGGCTAAACTAATTGAATTTTCAAAAAGGCTGTATGTGTTCTCTTCTCTCTCTCTCTCTCTCTTTTTTTTTGATATATTATTAAGCTGATTCAGGAAGGTGAAATGGATGAAAAGTCAACGGAATACTTGAAATATGAGCAGAAAAGTCAGGTTTGGGGACCCTTAATTAAAACACCATCTTTACACTGGAGTATATTATTTGCCAATCATCATCTTCTAGTAAGTCGCTGTTTTTCTGATTTTTTTTCTCTCTCTCTGTTGTTTCAAAATTATGCACCGGCAGTGTTTGGAAGTGGGAACACACTGGCTCTGTGGTTAATGCAGTTTTAATTTGGTCTCTCTTTGCCCGTGCTTTAAGCATCTCTCAGCTACTACCAACATAATGAGAAACAGAAAATTGCCTCTTGCTTGTTGGAGCGACTCTGTATTATTCATACATGTCTATTATTTATAACCAATTACACGCCATACACCAGGATTTCAAAAGAAAAAACAAGCAAATGTCAAGGTTGTAAGCTGAAACTGGTTAACAACTTTTAATGTAGGGGAAAAAGGCACTGAAAGGGAAAGCCAGAAATAAACAGACCCCCATCAAGGCTAAATTGACCCCCCTGGAGAAGCCGTCATATTATTCATCTCTTCCCAGGGTGTAAGAATAGAAGGTCTCCGTAGCAAACCCACTGTCCTAAGAGGATTTGTTAAGTACACAGGCAACAGATTAATCAAATTGACAAAGGGGAAGATTGCATGGAGGCAGTGCCTTATCTCTTCGAGGAAGGGAGGACTGTCACCCCGGTGAAGAATCAATACCGGCTTGTTAGAGAAACTCAAGCATGATGATTGCCTGCACATGCGTGGTTGATGTTCTGGGTTTTTGTTTTTTTATTTTATAATGTCAGTCGCAGACTTGGGCAGACAAGCTCATTTCTTCCGAGACAATCCAGAAAAATAGAAGGCATCAGATGTTGTGGCCAAATCAATGAAAGAGGCCAAATTGATAGGTTTATACATTACAAGTCAATATTTGTTTGTCTTACCTGCTGATGTCCCAAAGGTGCTTTGTCCAAAAGGCAACTGGACTTTCTTGGTTGTTGTTGTTTTTTTCCTCTCTGAAAATGTTTCGCTTCTCCTCCAAGATGCTTTTTCAGCCCTGACTGACTCATTATACTGAGGCCAAACTGAACCTACAGATTTCCATCAGCATGAAAAACAAAATTCTGGAGCTCTTAGATAATTTAAGAGGAAAAAATATCAGCAAATCCAGTGTCAAGTGTCCCGTTTTGTCCCGTTTTTTTTTCATGCTTGAGCTGGCTTGTCTAGATGTAGAAGGAAGTAACTACAGGTATTAAACTTTCTCCGAGCACTTCAAAAGAGGCATCTTGGCTTTCCTGTCTTTTCTTCTTTTAAAGGACAATATCAGAACTCAAAGAAGAAGTACGAGGTGGGTAGGATTCAAAGAAAGCATTTTGACCTTCACTCTTCATGTTCATCCATCCACTGAGCTAAACTTTCAGAGGTGAGATCAAAGGCAGCTCCAGATCTGTTCCACGTCAGTGTCCTATCCAAGCCAATGAAATGGTTTTCAAGATGGATTGTCTTCTGCAACAGTCTTGCGAGAACCTACTTAGGGTATCCAACAGGCTTATCCACAATGTGTGAATGATTCCAGACAGGGACAAATTAATTGTCCTGTGCCAAATGACTGTTCTATTTTTATTGTTGAATATCCAATCCTTCCTTTCTTCTAGCTAAAGATAGCACTGACTGGGACTGACCTCATTGCATTCTTGTCACAGTCACCTTATGATACAGGTTGGACTAACATTGAATGAGTAAGTGACTCAAAGGGAGCTCCGTGGTCAAGTAGAGCCTTGAACTTGAATTCTCCTAGTCTCAGCTCAACTCTTTAATTATTAAACCACAGGTACATGTTGCAATCGTATATCTGCTTTCATAATAGTAATTGAAAAGAAAACAGACTAGTAGAATAAAAAAAATTGGAAGGGACCTTAGAATTCTTCTAGTCCAACCCGCTACACCAGTTCAGACAGATGGCTATCCAATCTCTTTTTGAAAACTTCCAGTGTTGGAACACACACATTATCTATTCTTATAATAGATAATCAGAGTTGGAAGGGACCTTATAGGTTATCTAGTCCAACCTCCCACCCAAGTGGGAGACCCTACACCATTTCTGACAAATGGCAGTCCAAATCTCTCCTTGAAAGTCTCAAGTGATGACACTCCCAAAACTTCTGAAGACAACTTCTGTTCCATTGGTTGATTGTTCTCACTGTCAGAAAGTTTCTCCTTATTTCCAGGTTGAATCTCTCCTTGGTCAGTTTACATCCATTATTCCTTGTCTGGCCTTCGGGTGCCTTAGAAAATAGCTTGACCCCTTCCGCCTCTCTGTGGCAGCCCCTCAAATATTGGAAGATGCTCTCCTGTCTCCCCTGGTCCTTCTCTTCACTAGACTAGCCAGGCCCAGTTCCTGTAACTGTTCTTCATATGTTTTAGCCTCCAGTCCCCTAATCATCCTGGTTGCTCTTCTCTGTACTTTTTCTAGAGTCTCAACATCCTTTTTATAATGTGGTGACCAAACCTGGATGCAGTTGGGTTAGCTGGAAGCTGACATACAGTGTAGACATATTCATGAGCTTATCAATTCTTGATCCTTATCTGGTTTAAAAGTTGATGCCACATTCCAAATTACACAAATGTTTCTGCGTTTCACTGAAAAACAGTGAAAAACTGAAATATACTTTTTTTGTTTCTTTTGCAAGAAACATACTGATAAAACTAAGCCTGGTAACTTTTTTTCCCCTGCCCCCCGCTTGTCAACACATATTTTATTCTAAATTTTAGAAAAGACCAAGCTGCTCTTTAGAATCGCAATCTGTTTATATACTGTATTTGAGTAATTTGTATATCAAAATGCCAGGCTCTTATCTCAGAGCTGTAAATGGGTGGCATCCATTTCAAATCCAGTTTGTTGCAAAATTAATTTCTCTCTCTCGATCAGCAGCTTATCATGATTAATTCAAGCAATATTTTCCCTGCAATTTATATTTTGACTAAACTTTAACGTGATATGTAAAGGATGAACATTCCATTTATTTTTCTCTCTTCAATTAATACAGCAATTAAAATAAAGGGTGTAAAAGAACTTAATTGGGTTGCTATGGCTACTAATTACCCAATTTCTTTCCAAACCATGTGTTTTAGGTGGAATCAATCTGCGATAATTTAATTTCAGGCATCATGATGTCTATAAACAGGTTAAGGCATATGGCAAGATCGTTTTTAACTGAACTCTTAGACAATTTTCATTTTACTTGATCTGTCTTCCTAACACAGGCCTTTTCCCTCCATTAATTCTCCCATCAAAAAAGAGAGACAAAGATTTATGAGCTCAGTATCTATTTTTAAAGCATTTTGGACTAAATTATTCTCTCTATCTTTTTTAGCAACAATCAATGCTAAGCAGGACAATTTTAGGAGATCAGGAGTCACCAAATGCAGGTAAGCCTCAACGTACAACCACAACTGAGCCCAAAATTTCTGTCACTAAGCGAGACAGTTGTTAGTTTTTTCCCCATTTTACGACCTTTTCTACCACAATTGTTAAGAGAAACATTGCCGTTGCTAACTGAGTAACACGGTTGTTCAGGGAATCTGCCTTCCCTGTTGACTGCTCCCTTCACCAGAAGGTTGTGACAGCAGATCACATGACTTGAGACATTTCAACCGTCATAAATATGAACCGGTGGCCAAGCGCCTGAATTTTGATCACGTGATCATGGGGATGTGGCAATGGTTGTAAGTGTGAAAAATAGCCATGAGTCCCTTTTTCCAATGCTGTTGTAACTTTGACCGGTCACTAAATGTAAGTCATAAGTCATAAATAAAAAGGATTTATCTCTCTCTCTATAAAAGTGAAAAACCACTCCACGCATCATCACAAAATCTCCAGAACCGTAAAGCCTACAAACTTGAAATTTGCCCCCTATGTTTCTCTCAGCTTCTAGGTGCTCACTAAGAAAGGATTTTTCAAAATGAGCATCAAAGCATTAGTATTTCTTATATTATTATTATTAACATGCTCTGATGCTAAGGAGTTCTACTCCCCCTCCGCACCTGAAAAAAGAAAATCTTCCAAATGCAAAACACAAACAGAGGAGTTTCAGTTTCATAGCACCAAGCAGCTTTAGTCCAGAACAGTTGAGCTAAGCCACGCCCAGGCTCCTTGCTGTCTCCTTCTTGCTCACACAGCAAATACTGCTTCAGTTTCCAAACAGCCCTCAACTCACTCACACACTGACAGGACGCTAGCCAGATGAATACCAATGGATGCTGGTAGGCAGAGGCACAATTTTCCCCCTTATTTTTCTCCCCAAAAACTAAGTCCAACCACATAGTTTCATAGTGAAGCACGGGTATCGATTTAGTAGGATATATAGACGGTCTCTTCTATTCCACCCATATCTTAGAAAGAAGAAAACCAGGCCAAACCAATTCCCTGCAGTTGTCTTAAGAGGATCTTCAGTTCAACAGCCTGAAACCCTGAACCTTCTTACAGATTTTTGCTGCTGGCTTTTCAAGCTTCCAGCCAATTCCCTTGGGAAAAAAACAACAACATGGTTTGATCCACTTCCATGGGTTTACACCATTTTGCAGATTTTTTTTCCACAGCATTTCATTTTGGCTTATCGGATTACCCAGCCTCTGTGTCTATGTTAGCCCTCGATAAACTAGCATAAAAATCAAAGAACCCCACCAATAGCCTTGACCTTTGGAGAAAGCCAAAGAATACAAAGCAAATTAGGACATCCGTTGAAGAAGAGGGAGAGGCAGAGTCTCTCCACAGGAAAGGTCACATTTTATTATTTATGAAATTGAGAAGTACGATCTTCAAGAGGAAAGGTTGCTTCCAAAAAGGGTTAAAGTGTTAGGGAATAGCAAGTGCATTTTTAAAATCCCTGCTTGTACGCCCGTCAATGAAGGAAGACAACATGGGTTATTATTTAATAATGGTAGGGGCTTTGGAAAAAAAATATATGGTTCAACATTTTGAGTATTCAAAGCATGTTGGCTCAGCTGCACATGGTTTCACCCACCTCGAAGCAAGGATGTTGAAATTTCATGGCAAAAAGTTTAGTTTTGGGAAATGTGGGTTTTTCAAAATAAATGGTGGAAAACGGGAAGTAATTTTGGGATGAAATGTTGGGAGGAGGCGTTTAAGAATTGACAACTTGCGGAAATGGAATGGTTTTCTTCTTAGATGTTTCCTGCCCCGTCCTGAACCCAAATATCCAGAAAAGTGCCACAAATGACAACAAACTCTCTCTCTTGCGATGCCAGCTGGTGGAATGAGGTGGATCATACTGACAAAAATAACACTGCAATTTCATAAAACACAACAGTAGCAAAATCTTATGGACCTTACAGATTTCATTAAAAGTCACCACTCTTAGATGTAGGTTTCAAGTTTGACATGTTAGATATGGGCAAATGTACTTCGTTGAATGCCTGGAGATTGGCTTCACGCCAGTGAAGAAACTTATGATTTCTACCTGAAGGTCCTTTAGATGTTGTTGATCCACGAATCCCAGCCATACCAGATAGCACCCGTTGTTGGTGAGGGATAATGGGTATGGCTGTTCAGCAAACATCTGGAGATCCATGTGAACTAGGCTATTTAACCAGGATTGAACTTAAATTCATGGCACTGTCTGTCAACGTGCCAAATATCTTAAATAAAAGGCCATAATTTTGAGAAAGCAAATAGTTTGGCACCTTGCACAGTGTTAAGTTGCTTTAAGAGCCATGGTGGTGCAGTGGTTAGAATGCAGCCTTGCAGGCTGACTCTGCTCACTGCCAGCAGTTCAATCCTGACCAGCTCAAGGTTGACTCAGCCTTCCATCCTTCTGAGGTCAGTGAAACAAGGACCCAGATTACTGGGGATGATAGGCTGACTTCTGTAAGCCCCTTAGAGAGCTCTGAAAAGCTCTATGAAGCAATATATAAGTCTAAGTGCTATTGCTATTCCAAAGTAGTAGTCTTAGAAATAATCATAGTAATTAGCATTAACAAACCAACATTTTATCTTAGTTTTATTTATGCGTGATGTCAGTTATTTCCACCAGCAGAGAGTTGTAATTGAGATGAAAATGTCTCAGTTTGCATACCCATTATGTCAACACTGAGTACTGTAGATATCTCCTATGCTCAAGATCAGGAGAAGAGTAGTCAAAATTTTATTGATTCAAAAAAAAAAAAAAATTGAGTGAAAGAGATCTTGAGTTTAAATGCTGGAATGGGCTCATAAACAGGATTTGATTCCTGGCCTCTGCAGGAGGCACAACATCTGCACACAGATCACTCCTGTCATGTGCCTAATACAGCAACTTATCCAGCTGTGTTTGTGAGCTTCTGCTGGAAGCAAGTTCTCGAATACAGTTGAGTATCTGAAGAATACAGATTTATCACCATGCCTGGGGTGAAGCCTGATATCCAATGGAAGAAAACCCCAGTTCCAGCAGCTTTTCCATCAGTTTTGGCCAGCTTTCCAACTGCAGCTTAGTTTAACATCCTGTGCATTCTGTAGCTCAGCGGGAATGTCATAATCTTGAGAAAATTAAGCATTAGTGTTGGGATGGGTTGGGAAAAGTCTTTGCGGAATCAATTTTATCACATTAGTACATGGAGTTCACCATGAAATTATATCCATCGCTTTCCAACTCAGCAACACGGCACAGGGAGCAGCTGAAAGACACATACGATAGATCTTGGCTGCATCATATTTTGAAGGCTGAGTGAACTTTTTACAGGACATCAGCTTGCTCCAGATGTCAATGGAATCTAATTTAATGTATTACACTGTAATTATTTTATAGAGTACAAGCTGTAACTTGAATTAAGTAGCTGACACTGGGCTGTTCGTTCCTGACAGGGTGTATATCACCACTCTGCCCGAGCAGATAAAATTGCAAAGACTGACAAGGACCCTCCCTGATGGAGAATGATGGCAAGCAATTGTCAGAAGATGGTTTGAGCTTAGAGTATGTCCCATCCCCCACCTGCATGCATTCAGCAAGGTCTAACAATCAAATAGTACATCACGTTGTGTCTACTCAATCATGATGATTTTTTTTTAAAAAAATGCATCCATCTCTGCATCTTTAGTTTTAGGTTTTTTAAAAAGATGGATAGAAACCATCTCTTATGTTTTGTGTAAGCTCTTTTTGCCTGAGCCTTCAGCCAGTTTGTGGAGGGAACTAACACTTAACCCTTTAAACCAAGAACGATCAGATCAAACAACAGCCAATTTTGTTTATCTCTCAAGGACCAGCCCAGAAATATAAATGTCATTTGGCACGCCCTTTCGAGTTCCATGTTTGAAGGGATATTTTGGAAGCTTGCTCTGAGTCCAACACCATCCAGCTGAATTCTCAACAGTAATATTGCGATATGTGGCCGACAAGCGTTTCTGCGGCATGGCAGATAATTAAAAATGTTGATAGCCCATCTGGCCACTGGGCCCTTCTGGTTAGACAGAGATGGGGTAGGGCTAAGCAGATGGACCCAAACCAGCCAGTCCTTCTTCTTGAAAGTGACTTGTGTTGTTCCTAGACTAATGTTTCCCCACCGTGGCAACTTTAAGGTGCCCATTATTTAATTAGGGCAATCGCTGAAACCCTGACAGCATGGACTTCAACTCCCAGAATTCCCCAGCCAGCCCAACTGTGGGGAATTGCCTTACTCTGCTCACAAAACCCAAGCGACACCAGGAAGTTGACCAAATGAAAATCAAAACATGTGTGTGCTACCCATAATTGGGTAGACCAGGTTGATGTCAACAGAAAGCGAGGAGAGAGCAGTGTGGCAGCTTGGGAATTGAAAGTGCATTCCATAAATAGTTTTCAAAGATAGTGACAAGGTGACTGAAGTTTATGCCACGCAAAATTCTAACTGGAGAACTTGATTGATGATTCTTGGCTATCGATGTGTCTTATTGGAGAATATGAATTATGATACACCCAGAGAGTGGGAGAAAACCAGTCTCAAGGGTGACAATGAATTATGTGTCTCAGAGTTGGCTCTACCCAGGCAGTTCCAGACATATTAACTCCCAATAAATCCCTTTTAAGTTTTGGAAGTTTGGCTCGAGACTCATCATTTAATTGGGGTGACTGCCAGAATCCTGACAGTTGCCCTGATAGACCAGTCCCTCCGGAGAAAAAACACTTATTCCCTCCCTTGGTATAGTTGACAAAGCGAGGAGCACCCATGGCTTAGAGTTTTATACATCTACCTAATAAGTAAGTAGCCCAGGTTTGAATCCCACAATATTATCAATATAATCAACCACAATAATACACGGGGAAAACACTCGATACAAACTCAAGGTAAACCACTCCAAACATGATTGCAGAAAATACAACTTCAATAACAGAGTGGTCAATGCTTGGAATGTTCTATCCGACTCAGGCTCCTGAATTGGGGCTGAAAAGCAAAAATGGAAGCAGTATGCTCTAGCCCATAATTGGGTAGACCAGGTTGTTCTGATAGACCGGTCCCACCGGGGGAAAAAAAAACCAGCAAATCAAAGCGATTAATCTTCAAATCGATGTCTGGGGTATTGGGATACTTCATACTGGCTGGAGATTATGGTACGGAAACCGAAATCCAATGAATTCGGAGATCACAGAATTGGGCTACGGACTACATGTGTCCCCCGAATAGGTGAAATTTCCACTTCTTAGTAATACAAGCATTACATGCATTGCTTTGCAGTAATAAATTTATCCTTCTAATCCTATTAGAGTCAACAGGCACACTCTATGGAGAACGCATTATCAAAACCCACAGAAACACTGAATGAAAGGAATGAGTGTGTGGTTGTGTGTATGGAAAACAGAGTTCCCTGCAAAAGCCGCTTTTCAAGAGAAATAGATTTATGAGTATCCAAATAAACCACAGCACCAAAGGGTACCTTCTTCCCTACTTTGCATTTTAAAGCCATGCTCTTGTCAAACATCCCCTGTGCAGAAACCAGAGGAAAGGAATAAAATTACCCTCTTAGAAAGAGCATTTTACAATTCATCGTTGCGGCTAAACCAGATGCATCTCTGAGAAGCATGTAAGCATATTAGCTTTTTGAACACTACATAACAAAGCCCTTATTTACTTTGCACCTTTCAGACGTGTGGGATAAACTCAACATTTCTCTCCATTCTCCCCACCTCTATTTTAAATGCGCTACAAAAAAGTTAGTTGCGATGAGTTTTTATAACATCCTTCTAATATAGGTGATGGGCAACCGAAGGAGCTTTAATCCACGTAATGTATTAAAGAGATTGCTTTTTAACTAGGGGTTTTTAATTGGGGTCTTATTGGCCATTATGTGTTAAAGAGAAGAACCTGGAAGACTGAACAGGGATTATTTGTATAGGGATGCCCAAGAGTTTAATAACCAGTTCAGATATTTGCAGAGACGGTAGCAAAATTAATCCTAACCCCATTTGATGAAAATAGGAATGAAGGCCTTGATTTCTTACTAGGAAGATGATTTTACAATTGGGATGAAATCTCTAACCAAAAGAAAATGATTATGGATCAATGAAAGACCACCTCCTTCAAATGCAGGAGGTCCCAAATGCAATTTCCAATTTCTCTGGGAGTGAAGAAAACCCCTCTTCAAAACACTGGGGGGCTCTCTTGCCAATATTTTATCATGATAATAAGAGCAACCAGGTTATCAGCTGAGTCTATGCATTGGCTTAAGCCAAGGTTTGCCGATAGCTTGTTGAGTAAACTACAATTGGCTGGTTTAACGCATGATGGGCAGGTTTACATAAAAAAAGGAACTGAACAAGAACCAAATGACACTAGGGCTAAACACGATGGGTGAATTAACCAAGTGCCCTATAGGTTTCCACACCTTTTGAACCCTTCTAGCTGTGGCTATTGTCAATTGCAGAGCTTCTATAAAATATGAAAATCCAAATTCATTGCCCACTTTTCACAAAGCTAAAGGTTGCCTTTACCTTCACCTTACTATTAGTATCGAAATCTTTCCTTCGCTGCTGTTTGTAATGGAAGATTTTTTTTATGAGATCATCGCCTCAATTCAACTGATGATTTATTAGAACTTGACTACAAGAAGAGCAGAGCATCATCCGAGAAGACTCTCCTTCCTATAAGGACCAGCTGGATGCTCTTTGGGAGGCCTCAAAGGGCCTACTGCCTAGAAATTCAGAGTGTTAAAATTCAACCTATGTTGAAGGCACCTCCATGCCTGGAAGATACCAGAAAAGGTGTCAGAAAAGGTTTGGTGTATTCTCTGCTTGTAACTGTAAGGAAGATCAGCAAAATACCCATGCCATTGGCTACTACTCACCACTGTCTATTGCCAAAAAAGATGCGGTGTAGACATTGTTCAAGACGGAAGGGGATTCGCGATCAAACATGCCCTTGGTACGAATGGTTCCATTGGTAGGGTTAATTTCCAACCAGTCTGCTGGATCTCTGTTGGTGGAGTATCTGCCAAAATGAACAGACAATAATCAATGATACCAATAGAAGAGAATCTTTGTGGCTCAGGGTTGAACCATGAGGTCCTTGATGCTTTCTGAGCTTGGAGTTTTTCTTGCAGACGTTTCATTACCCAACTAGGGAACATCATCAGTGCTGGAAGGGAGTGGTGTTTGGGGGGCAGAGGAGGAGGAGGACTGTGGAATCCCTGGTGCTCTCTGAACTCAACTGTTTTCTTGCAGACATTTCATCACTCTATGGGGTAACATCATCAATGCTAGAAGAGGGTGGGGTTTTAAGAGAGGAGGAGGAAGAAAAGGACTGTGAGGTTCTCTCTAAGCTTGGTTTTTTTCTTGTGGATGTTTCATTATCCAAGTATAGAACATCATCAGTGCTAGAAGAGAGTAGAGTTTGTGTAGTGGAGGAGGAGGAGGAGGACTGGGAGGTCCTTAATGATTTCTGGGCTTGGTTGTTTTCTTTGCAGACATTTCACAACCCAGGTAGGTAACACCATTACTTAACAACGACAGCAAAAAGACCATAAAATTGGGTACAACTCACTTAACAAGGTCCCAATTGTGGTCATAAGTTGATGATTACCCATAATATTTGTCTTTGTGTAAATAAATACAACTGCAATCTCAGTCCTTGAGAATACATGACAAAAACTACACATATTCTTTAAACCTATATCACGACGCGACAAAGACATGAGAAAGTGAGAAACAGGAGAAAGGAATGGAAGGTATGATAAGAATATTTTTATTCCCTTGAAAGCAACTCCTTCTTTTCATCCAGATTCTTAAATTTCCTTGTGTTTTTTAGACAAGCAATAGCCAACGGTGGCAGGGATCTACACATCCATGTTGGGAGGGAAAAGATGGACGCTCCATTGGGTCTCAACTCAAATTTCTAAATGCTACCTTCCCACTCGAGATTCTGTACTGTGCCCCTTAGATCCGTGTTTCTCAACTCCGAAAACTCTAAGATGTGTGGACAAGCTGGGGAATTCTGGGAGTTGAAGTCCATACATCTTAGACTTCCTAAAACTGAGGAACGCTACCATAGATCTTGACTCTTTGTTGAACAAAGGCAGATGCCTTGTCAGTGATGTCACAGAGATGTTTGTGACTGTAGAGACAAAGCATCGCGTTCCCCAAAGCACCTCATTCACACCAAATGACAATGGTGCTATTGGCACCATCAGGAATGATTAGAAAGGAACAAAGAACAAGCTGTTGTGATTAGCAAATGATACAGTCTATCAGCTCTGCCTAAGCCTGTTTTTCATAACCATCAAAGCCCAGATCCGCAACAGCATCTTATGATCCATAGTGATGAATACACTGCGCGACAACAACAGTGCGTCTAATTATTTCATGCCATTCCTTTATTCCTTTAAAAAGAATAATTCTGAAACAAAGATGCACATCAGTCTAGGAGACAAGGTAGCTGAACTCATTGCAAGCTGAAGAATATCCCATTATCCCTAACAATATGCTTGTGTGTGCGATACATGCATGTGCATGTACTCCACACGTACAAACACAAACACACACACACACACACTGCTCAGGTTTTGTAGAACAATTGGGAAAGATTAACCAGTGTTTCTACATTCACAAATGGTACTACCTTGGAGAAATGGGCAGCTCTCGCCAATCTGTTCTAATTGTGCAGCGAAGATAAATTACACAACATGTAATTTGACACAGAGCATTATTTCTCTTTCCCCCCAAATTAAATCTTCTCTCAAATTTTACCCATTGTAAGTACATAATATCCCTTAACTAAGGCGATTGTTCCTTGCTCAGATTCTTTTAATATGCAAATATGAGCTTCGATTACCCGAAGAATAAAAATAAATATATATGAAAAATAAAATCAAAGCAACATAGATTTAGAAGGTGTGTTTGGGAGTGATCCAAGAAGATTTCGCCTGCCCTGTTTGTAGACCACTCTACTTTCCAAATCTATATATTTATACCTTTCTGGAAACTAGGGTTAGTTCTCAGTTGTAGAATGAATATATCCAAATTGGCTTAAATCCACTAAGAACAATGTTAAATTTCATGTGAAAGAGAACTGGGCAATTAGGAAGAACTAGAAGCTGAAAGACCTAACAAGATTTATACGTCCATCACAATGGAAAGCAAAATGAATGTGTTAATTCCTAGCTCACCTCTTATTTTGTCTACAGGAATGTAGAATTACTGAGTTGGCAAGACGTATTTAGCCCATCAACCCAACTTGTATTCATTGAAATACCAGATACTGTAACATTCCAGACAGATACAGATAGTTCTCGACTTACAACTGCTCATTGAGGGACCATTAAAAGTTACAACTAGACAGACAGACAGACAGACAGACAGATGATAGATCTTACAGCAGTTCCAGACTCCTGGGGTTGTGTGATTGCTCTTTGTGACTTTCTGATCTTTTATTGTATACCTCTCAGAGTCCCATTCTGAGAGAGACGGGCAGTTCAAAACTGTGAAAAATAAATCAATAAATAAAACGTTCAAGGCCATTTTCTACTTTTGTTAACCATTCTTGCCTTACCTAAGTGGTGTTATGTAGCTTTAAGCAGAGGTGGGCTGCTGCCGGTTCGGACCAGTTCTAGCGAAACCAGTAGTTTCAATGATCAACTGGCCCACCCACCTGGCCCCATCCTATCCTGTCTTACACTTCCTTCTTTGGCAGCTCAGCTGATTCGTGCAGCACAGTGAATTACCACGCCTCAGCTGTTCTACTTACCAGAGAAGGCTAGAAGGTGAGCTGGAGAGGTTCAAATGGGTGTTTATTGAATGCTGCCACATGCACGCATTCACAGAACTTGGTTGTGAAACCACCATTTGATTTGATTAAACATTTCTCCCCCCGCCCAATCGCCAGGTCTCAAAAACCTTTTGATCCAGAAGGGGACTGTCTCTTCCACTTATCTACCTGATGCCAAGCTTGTAAATGCAGATCAGTTTCAAAATCCAAGTGGAATCCAAGTGCCTTCAAATAAAAACTACATTTGGGGCATGTTCCCTTTTTTTTTAATCCTCTTGTTTTTTGGGGGTGAGGAAGAAAGCATGCCATAAATGTTAAAAAGTGCTCATCCTTCCACAGAGGCCAGATGCGTTGGTGATGAAAAAAATGGAAAAAGTTCCTCCTCAAGAAAGATGTAGGAAAACCCTAAACTCTTGTCTCTGCTTGGTTGGCTCTGCACCTAATCTCCTGCCTTCGTTTGACTGTTCATTTGGGAGGCCATAAGCTACCTGCGTGCTTTTTTCCATTAAATATTTGATGATAGAAAATGCAGGAGTCTGCATGTGTTAGCAAAGCCATGATAACACGTGAAATGTGCAACGGGCCATAAAAACACTTCCTGGAGTGTGGAGAGATTTCAAAAGATATTTTTTTTTTTCTTCTTCTTCTTCTTCTTCTCTTTTCTGCCCTCAGGATCCAGGTGAATTCTGCACTGAGATGTGAACTCAATAAATAACAAAACTTAAGGGTGTGCTATTCTTGTACAAAGCAGGGAAAAATGCTCTAATGTTCCCATTTAAACTCTCCTTTCAAACTGCAATGAACCTGGATTGTTGATTATATAGATAGTCATTTAAAGGAAGGTCAGCAATGTCTAAACATCAAACATTTGGGCTTTTCTATTTAGTATTAGACTCTTAAAATGACATTTTATTGCTGTAGACTTGTTTCAAAACAGTCTTTTAAATACAACATGATGTAATTTCGAACTGGACTGATTTTACATTGTAAGATGCCCCGGGAAATCTATTAGTCTAGAGAGGCAGCTCACAAATATATTCAGTCCACAAAAAACACCACAAAGATTCAGGCAACAGACTTATTTGAATGGAACAGAGCCTTATTACAAGGGGCTTATCATGATTCCAACTAATCTGTGTTTTTTTCTTTACCCTCAGCTTTGTCCCTCTCTCTGGACAATAACATCAAGGTAACCATTTTATTTTTGCTTTCTATGACATATTTTGTGTTGCAAAGTTGAGGTTTGAAAAGCTATGAGGTGAATGAAGATGGGTTTTGAGAACTGAATCAGTATTTGAGAATTGATCGCTGAAGCCCATTATGGCCCCAACATCTACCCTATACTCATGTCCAAGGGTGGGAGAAGTTGGACCTTGAACCCAATGAGATGATCTCCCAAACTGATCAAGGAGAGATTCAACCTGGGAATAAGGAGAAACTTTCTGACAGTGAGAACAATCAACCAGTGGAACAGAAGTTTCCCTCGGAAGTTGTGGGAGCTTCATCACTTGAGACTTTCAAGAAGAGATTGGACTGCCATTTATCAGAAATGGTGCAGGGTCTCCCGCTTGGGTGGGGGGCTTGGATTAGATATTTTATTTATTTGGTTTGTCAATGGCTTACAAGATAATAGGTGTAAGTAAAAACATAGTTATGAATACATGGATACATATAAGAAAAATAAAAAATGAAAGAAACAATAGGACAAGGATGGTAAGCACGTTGGTGCGCTTATGCACGTCCCCTATAGACCTCTTAGGAAAGGGGTGAGGTCAATAGTAGACAGTCTAAGGTTAATTTTTTTTTTAACTTACAAGGTCCCTTCCAACTCTGTTAATCTGTAATCTGTAAATGGGAATTGGAGAGACAACAAAACAAAAAGCACACTGGGCCTTTTTAAAATTCCTGAGATCTTTAAAATAAAAACAAGTCCGTTTTCTTTAGGCAGAAGCTTGAAAAATAAGGTTTCTTCCAGAAAAAATGAGTGCAATTCTCTGTGTGCATTTAGTATTTCTGAAATAATTCTACATCTATAGAAAAACATGTTTTTCTTTCTCTCTCTCTCTCTCTCTCTCTCTTTCATTCTTCTCTCCTGATTTATCACACCTATCAGTCCAGATATTTAGCAAGCTGTTCTTAATCATATTTTTCCAAAACATATTTTAAATGGGAGAATAAGGGATGAGAGAAAGATAAACTGTCAGATATGCCCATTCTTTATCACCAGA